GATATTGTTTTGGGAGACTCCACTCTTAACTGAGCACTTCAGAGTCATGTACTGTTCCTTATTCAACTCAAAAGCAGTCTTGGTGCCTTAGAACAGAAGCCAAGTGTGTAAAAGACCCAAATATTTACTGGGTTGCCTGTCTTTTGGTGGGGAGTGAGGTGTTGGAAGGTAATTGGCATTGGGTCGCTTTGAGAAATTCTATTTTGGGGTGGGTACGCTGCTGTCTGAAAAAACAGCACTAACTCCCTTCGTGCCAACTTACCAAGTCCCTGCTACTAGCATTCTGTAAGCTCTTCATCCTTGGCCTGAAGCAGTGGGTCTGGGATTGGTGACGTAAAACACTCTCTTGTGAGGGTCTGCCCACTCTGTCACCTCCCTCTTCAGTTCTAATGCTTTTGGCTTTGATTTAAGGTCCCAAGCAGCAAGAGGGAAAGAGAAGGAGAAAGAAGGTACTACAGAATCTGGTATAAAGCTGGAGCCAGTCCCAGGACTACCTGGAGGTAAGGGAAATGGTTCCATACCAGTGACTGCCCTCTCAAACACAGAACAGCAGGTCACTTGCAGCCATGAGGCAGAACAGAGTTACACTTCTTAGTTTGCTCTCTCTACCATTGGGAGCTGGGGCCAGTAGGGCAGCTGCACATTCCACTCTCAGAGCAGTTAGTGAACCTGGGTTCGAATAAGAGCTGGCTGGAGAGTCTTGTATTTATGGGCAATGAAGGGATCTTTGGCTAGAAAGAAATTCAAGGTGCCTCAAGGCCTTTTTTACAGGATGATTGAAAAGTTACAATGGTTACAATAAAGGCACTTAAATCATTGAGACCTTCTGTGGCATAAGCTCTGGTTGTGTGTTCTTGAGCCATTCAGTGTCATCTGTTGGGCAGGCAATCCCAGTTGTTTAGGGTAGGGGGGAGGGATAGCTCAGTGGTTTGAGCATTGGCCTGCTAAACCCAGGGTCGTGAGTTCAGTCCTTGAGGGGGCCACTTAGGGATCTGGGGCAAAATCAGTACTTGGTCCTGCTAGTGAAGGCAGGGGGCTGGACTAGATGACCTTTCAAGGTACCTTCCAGTTCTAGGAGAAATTTTTAAATTTAAAAAAAAAATTGATTCAGGTGGCTTTTTGTTGTGGAAGGGTCAGAGCCTGTGGAAGGGATCACGGCTGTTACTCTAGAGGTTCACTGGCATTCTGCGTCTGTTAGATACACACTGCTAACAAAGTTCCTGTCAGGAGAGACGGTTGCAGCCACTCCCCTTAGGGCCAAGGGTGGGTACTTGCTTATATTTTGCCTGCTAGCTTTCACCAGTAACCAAGGGATGTTTGTGTCTTGAAGCTCTTCCCCCTCCTCCAGCTGCAGAAGAAGAGGCGTCTGCAAATTACTTCAACCTACCTCCCAGTGGCCCTCCAGCCGTGGTTAACATTGCCCTGCCCCCACCTCCCGGCATTGCTCCACCCCCACCTCCAGGTAATTCCCTCCCCCTTCCCCTTCAGTGGGGAGAGGTAGAACTATGTCCTTTACCAAAGAGGCCTGGAATCAATCCCTACTTGCCAGATTACCTACTAGCCGGTGCCCTTGTGTGGTACCTACTAAGCGCAATCTGGGTTTATGAAACAGCTTGTGCTGTAGAACTGGCTCTGTTAGACAGAACTGTCTGTGGGGTAATATGTTCTCTGCAAAATTCTGCAGTACCCAGGAGAATCCCATAAACTGTGCTGAGGCCCACCCTGCTTAGCTGATAGGGACAACGTGGGGTTTACATGGCTAACTTTTAGGAGTGACTCTAAACAGACAGAACGTTAGTGTCAATATTTGACTGTTTGTATATTCAAAACGTGAAGCCTTTTCCCTGTGGAACTTCAGGAGGGTTGAGTTTGTCCAAATGCGCTGGATGGTCTTGTTACCCGAATACTTCTGGTATGCTCAGTAGTGAAAACAAAACATTCAGAAGTTCATAATATAATAGGGAGCAGGGGAACAGCACTCGCAGAACTGGAATCTGCACTGTCACTGACTAGCAACATGTCCTCAGCTGTTCATTATGCTGCCAGAAAGGTTAAAAGGGAGTAAATTGGGATTCCTCAGGAATTGGTGAAGGAGGAGAGGGGGCACCCTTTCCGTGGGCTCAAGTATGTTTTGCTTATCTGGCTTGAACGACAAATAGGCAACAGTAAAATACTTCATCAGGACGCCTGGTAATCTGACACTTGTGTTCTGTGTCTACAGGTTTTGGACCACACATGTTCCACACTATGGGGCCTCCACCTCCCTTCATGAGAGCCCCAGGCCCCATCCACTACCCTTCTCAAGATCCACAGAGGATGGGTGCCCACGCTGGGAAGCACAACACTCCCTAGCACCCCATTGACCTGTTCACCGTTTGAGTAGATGTCATTTTTTTGGTTCCCATGGTAGCATAATATGTTCAGCTGTGGGCGAGCTGGAGACTAAGCCTTGCTTCCTGCTTGCACGCACAGGGCAAGCTGAGCTCTGTTGTGTTGCCACTAGCTAATCTGGTCATTCATATAACCTGAATCATTCACTTACTATCGTGGGTGGGTGGGTGTGGGGGAGGAATGTGGAGAGACGTGATCTAGAGGGTCCATGAATGAGTTGTACTAGAATTACAATCCCATCAGTGTATTCAATTTTGCACATTTTGAAATAAATTTGTCTCCTGGGAAAAAAACACACCTTCAGCCGCTTTGATAGCCTCAGCAGGTTCCACCCTGGAATGGATTGGGGTCTCTTGTGCAGACTTAACTGGAGATTTTCCTAGTAATATTCATTCCGGAGTCAAATAACTAGTGATTCATCATTGAAAAAAGATACCAGGTCCTCTAGCACTAAGCCAGAATGCTCCAAGATAACACTGAGGGGAAAGGAAACTAGCATCAGGGGCACAGCTTCCAGGGATTTCTCCTTCTACTTACTGTGACTTTTTTTCCTCTTTTTCGGGTTGCTTTTCTTCTGATCGTGAGAAACTGGAGAAGCCTAAGCCCCTATAGTCAGTCAGTTATGTGCTAGGTAATGCAAACAATTCCCCTACTGCCAATTCCAGCATGACCCAGACAGATGCTCAAGCAGCCATCTGTTTCATATAGGCCAGCTGGGACCTTCCTGCCCCTCACCTTGGGGAATGAACATTGTTACTGAAACTACCAGGAATGAGGCAGCAGTAATACTGCAAGCTCATCCAGTCTGAACTATCGCTTTTGTGGCCTTTGTGTAAAATGGCTCTCAACCTGTGAAATGGACCAAACCATTTTTCGTTTGATAGGTTGTGTGATTCTTTTTTTTTTTTTAAGTAGCTCTGTGTTCAGCATTCACCCTGGTGCATCTGTTCTCTGTATAAAGTCTGTAATTTAATACAGTGCATAGGAGTCCAGGTGGGGGATTTTAAAGTACCAAAGTCTGTTGCTTTGATGTAACTGATCTGTAGATATGTTTTGGTAAACAGACACGTGTGATGAGATAACTCCTTATTTACTTGGTTTGGGTTTTTTAATTAAAATGGGCAGATTTTCCAAATGTTTGGACCCTGCTTCCAGAGGCAAAATGTGTCTGAGTATTGTCTGACCTTGTTTGGCTGAGCCCTCTGATGAAGAGTGGCGTGAGATAGCGAGAGTACAGCCCCAGTTCTGCTTCACCACGCGGCACTTTGGAATGCTTAGGTGCGTTGTGAAGTTCTGACGTTGCAGGCACCATGTCGGATCTTGCATAGGAGAGTACAGTACTCTAGGGGGTGCCCTCGGTTAGTGCACTGGCCTTTCCTCTCTGGAGACTTGGGTTAAACTTGGCATAGGTTACAGGGAAATGAGTGTTGCTGGTCTCGGGTTTAGCCCTCAGTCAGTAAAAATATCAAAATACAGCACAACTGGGTACCGTTCAGCAGCTCCCAGAATAGCCTGTTACAGGACAGGCTTTTGACGATCCATTGACAGATCTGTGCGGGGGAAGCTGGCACAGCACCTGCTTGTACTGGGCTTGACTCAAGCCAGTCAGTGCCTTATTCTGCAAGCACTAATTTGACAAGTATTGAACGGAGACAAGTTTTCAAATGTAGCTGATTTATTTTCTGCAACCAGATTTCTGAATGTAAACATGGCCTCCAGCTCACAGGCAAAGGGGAGGGAGATGGGCTCAGAGCTGGACAGTACTTCATAGGCATAAACCTTTAAACACGTAGACTGGCTTTTTTACTTGTTCAGTTTGCCCAGGTGTGCTTCTGGGGGCGGGCAGAGGAATGCATGTTCCCCGTGTGAGTGTTGCATTGCAGTGGTGAGTGCCCCAGGTTGTAATTAACTGAGGTGCATGCTTTTCCTCTGGATGGTCTCGTTGGCATTACAAACACAGTGGTTGTATGTTACGTTATTTACAAATAAGGCAGCCTTTTAAAATTGCACTTTTACCAGCCAGGATACAAAATTACTTGCCTAGCCTAACCACAACAATGCAAAAATATATATATTATTACTCACCCATTCAAAAAGAAAACAAGACCAGTTTTGCAAGGTTACAGTACGATTATCGTCAGACTTTGACAAAAACAACTAAACAAATGTAGAAACTGCATAGTTGACCTGGAGCTTTTCTATTAGCCAGGGTGAGTGGGAGTGTTCGGAACATACATGGATTCTGCTCTGCCCTTTTTTTTGGGTAGCATTCTTCCTTTGATGGATAGCTTTGTTTTATATACTGTGCTTGTGTGCATTCAGAAGGCTGTGGTCAAAACACCCTTGTTGACCACTTTCTGCATGTGTTGCATGAAGGTCTTGCTTGCCATCGAGGTGTTCGTTATGTAGGATGTCCTCTCTTCCCTAGTGGGACCCCATTAATGTTTTTATCAAGCATTGATTTGTATGATCAGCTTGGCAAGTACTTCAATACAGAATCATTGCTTTTTGGGGCTGCACCAATTGTGTTCTGCATCTTAAATTGGCAGGCTCTGATCCTGACTATTATTGAAGTAAAATAAGAAAATCTGAGCACATCAGGCCCTCCGTAGATCATTGTAATCAAGTGGTGTGAATATGAAAACCGTGGTGTGTAACCTCAGACAGCAAGTTGTTAGAGGTAGGAAAGGAAGTGTAACACACCAACCAGTAGCTAGCAGGGAAAATGGCATAGGTTCCTTATTCTCCCAGTGGGGTATTGGTGATCTCAAGCACTCCCCTCCTTTATATGCAGTACGCGTTTCTGCCTGACAGCCAGCCCCGCACACCCAGCCCAGGGTTTGGTTTCTTAGCAGAGTTGGATGTAATTTCCTTTCACATACTATCTCCTTATGTGTCAGAAAGCCATTAGTAACTTATTTCACTCACATTCCCCGATTACCACACTGCCTTATCATCCCCCACCCCCCGCCATCTCAACCAAAATTACATTTTTACAGCACTGCCCTTAAGCTGGGATTTCTCTGAGCAGCCACCACCTGTCAATGCTGGTGTCAAATGTTTCAGCAGAACAATTGCAAGGCGACTTGATGTGATGACAACTGGCTCTTCTGCCATTTGCCACAACACTGGAGCGAGGACAATGTGTCTGCTCCAATCGAATTGTTCCGTAGTATAATGATGGATGTGGAAGTTTACTGGAATCCCCTTGTTTTATCAATGAGAACTTGGCTGGTCAATAACGGACCACCTAGGAAAACCTTGTAACGGGGTAGCCCAGGAACGGCTCTAGATGTGAGCTTGCTGGGGGCTGTGTGTGGAAGTGGATGACCTACTGTGCCCCTGAGCCGTCACAGGGTGCACGGGTAAGAATATCTACTCCCCTTTTCTGCTGTGCTGAGGAGTACCTCTACCAGCGATTTAAAACAAAGCATGTTTGAGCCTAGCAGATAAAGCATCTGTGGGGTAGGAGAGGGGAGTAAGATTACATTACAGCTCTTCTGTCTCTGGTAAAATCCGTACCCAGCCCTGGGGTGCTCTGTTAAAGCTGGGTCTATTCCAGGCGAGCTCCAAGCTGTTCGAGGTGTCTGTCTGAGCCTCCATCTCCAACCCAGGCACAGTGAACATGTCATTGAGTAGCACTCCACCAAACGGGGTCGGAGTCCTGCATGCACAAAGGAAGAAGATTTAGCCTTTTCATGGGGGTGGGGGTGTACTTCCCTTGGTAGCCACGGCTGGAAGGAGCCTTCGGGACTAGCTGCTCCTTGAGCATCCAATTGCAGCCTTGTCATCTAGCAAGAGCCATCAGTTGCCACCCCATGTCATGAATGGCAGCTGTGCTCCTTCCAGCCACCATAATCCCCCCCTACTCTGTCTGTTTCCCCCAGCCCCTCAAAAGCTTCACCTCTAGACTGAGCCTCAGTCAGCTAGCCCTCATCCAAACTTCTGCAGAGAGACAGGGGCGCTGGTCCCACTACTTCAGCACCCTTGGTTGGGATGGCAAGGTAGAGCTGGGTGTCAGCCCCCACAGCTACTCCACCCCACTTCCCCTTAGCAACCCTGCCAGCCTCCACGTACGTGTTGAACAAGGAGAGGCATGAGAGAGACACCACACATGAAAGGTCTTGGGGCAGCAAGTCCTATCTGCTCTCCTTTGTAAAGCAGAGTGAAGCCTCTTAGGTGCACCCAAAGCCTTCTGGAAGGGGCTGCAGCTGCGTTACCCCCACCTCATGATCAATGCTGTCGTACATCTCTTAACAATCAACCTGCTTTCGGCACCAGGGCAGCTTCTCTCGGAACGTGACGAAAGGGAGCTTTTGTGCAGTGGCTTGAGCTGTCATTTGTTCCTGGAGAAATGATACAAGGGCAGAGGTGTATTCTCGTGGAGCAGCTAGGGTTGTGCTGAATGTTAGGCCTTCGTTTAAGACAGAGCACTGTTTTGGGGGCAGCGGTAAAGGCTGACTGTGGGGTGTATCTGCAAATGTCTGCTTTGGAAAGCATGCTCTGGTACATTGTCTAATCCGTTACTCGAGTAACGTGGCATCGTGTCTCAGCAGCGTCCCAGGGATTGCATGTCTGAGCCCCACTTCTGGGGGAAGTGTGGATGATGAAGGCTTGTTCCAGAAATGCTCGGTTCCCCCAAGGAGTATGTGGCAAGGTCGTTCTCAAAGCCTTGTGTTACAGCTCACGTAGGGCAGGTACCATCTCTGCGAGCCTCTTCAAGGTTTTTCATCACCCCTCTGCATTTTGTAAATAAACCAGCCTGCTTGAATTTGGTCATTGGAGAGGTTGTGAACTTTCCACTGGTCTATTACAAATGTGAAATACTCCAGGGTTCATCTTGCTTCATAGGCAGGATTTCTGTCTTCTCGCTTAATACAAAAGGCAGCATCCGTTTTGCTAACAGCTTTGGGTTGGATTTGTTTGGGGTGGGAGGATAAGATCAAATGAAAAGAGGTGATTTTCAAAATCAGGACCTTAGATCCACAAGGATCACATGTTTTTTTAACTCAGTTTAAATCGGAGGTCTGTAAATTCAGCTTCCCGGCACTTTGTGCCTCACTGAGGAGTTAAAATGGAGGTGAGAGACTTGGCATTAAATTAGCATCTAGCTGTATTAAATGTCAGTTTAGGGCTTTAAATAGAAGAGCAGCAGTTCAGAGGGGAAATAACAGGGTGAAGCTAGGCAGCCTAACACATCATCTAGAAACATGCCCCTTTGAGTTTCTGTCCAGAAATAAATACTGAGCCCAGGGCCGAGAAACATGACCAGCCCGAGAAACTAAAGAACAAGTGACTGCAGCACCTCCCCCGTCCTCTACAGCGTATGACTGATGGAGCTGGGGACGGGAAACATTCTAAATACTTGAATACATTGGGTGGTAAGGAAATAACAATAGAAACCCCTTGGCTTTTCCACCCTTTGCTTCCGGCTGGCAGCATCACTTCCACCGTGGCCTTGCTTTCTGCTAGCTAGCTCATGTGCTTCCCTGCTAGTTACACCGGGTCTGGTGTGGGAGGGGGTTGGCAAGTCCCTCGTTAATATCTTACATTTATACAACACCTTTCATCTCCATAACTTCCTGCATGACTCATGCAGCCACCTTAGGGTTCGAATAAGGCAGCTGGTTAATGGGGCCCACCAACATTGTACAGCAGCTTAGGGCAAGAAGTGAGGAGGAACTCCGCATCATCTGAAACTGTAGCAAGAATTCAGCTAGGCAGGATGTAATTATTCAAACAGCAGTTTGGCCAGGGGACCAGGGTGAGCCCCAGACCTACGCTCATGAAAAGGGATTTTTGGATCCTCAGTGACCAGAAGGGGTCAGGGCCTCGGTTTTATGATTCAGCTAAAAGATGTTGCTATGTAAGTTCAGTGCCCCCAACTCCAGGCTAGGTTCCTTGTTCTCTTCTGACGGAGAAGTGAGAACGCTTCTACTGGAACCCCACTCCTGCTGTCTGCAGAACCCGGGATTCCCTTGGCAGTCTCCCATCCGAGGACTTTACAAACCCAGCCCTACATAACAAAGAGGAAGGTTAACTCTTGCACGGAGTGCCTGGAGCTGCACCCTTTGCTGGAGCCACTGGTAGAAGAATTGTGAAAGTTCAGTCTCCAGTGTGTGGCGGGAAGGAATCAGGTGACTTTTTAGCACCTTGCATAAGGATTAACCTAGTGTCCTAGCTGCTTCTGCAGCTATCTGTCACCTTGTGAAAACTAGCCTAGCGCATGAGCTGTCACTTAGCGTGGCCATGGCCTAACAGGTGTGGGACGGAGACTGCTCTGAGCATAGGCGCCAACTCTGGTTGCTCCATGGCTCAAGCACCCATGGAAAAAAAATAGGGGGTGCTCAGCACCCACCAGCCTCACTGGTTCCAGCTGGGGCTGGCCACCAGTCAGCTGTTTGTGTCCCGTTGCAGAGAAGTTCAGGGTGCCCCATCTCGGTTTTGTGCTGCACGAGACCCCTGTCCTGCCCAGCCTTTCCCAGGGACGGTTGCTACAACAAGCAGCTAAAATGGGGTTGCAAGACAAGTTGCAAATAGCAGCTCATAGCAAGGTCTCCAGCCACCTTTTCATCCCTAAGCCTGAGTCCTCCATCAGCTCAGAATCCCCAGCATATCCCAGCAAACATGGTGGATGTGTCAGGTGCCCGTTACCTGTTGAAGCTCCTCAACTCGAAGTGGCTGGGTTTCCTGGGCAGTTCAGGCAGCTGGCTCTTGCTCTCCATCCGGTAGTCCTCACTGAAGAGGAATTCCTGCCAAGGGGAACAGTAGCCCTTGGGGATGGCAGTGAAGTTGAACTTCTCCGGAGGGACGTCCTTCAGCGGTCCAGAGTAGCCTGCGTTTGGGAGACAAGACTTTCGGTACTACAGCAGCCCTGCAAGGTAGCAGCCAGCCAGCTTCACTGGATCGTCAGGCCTGCCCGGGACTGTCCTCGTGTGGACAGGACCTCTCCCCTCCCATGGGAAGGGCTGGGAGAGCAGTGGAGATGGCCAGGATATGTTTTTTCCCATGAAAAAATATAGAGAAAAACTAATTTTTTTCTTTTTATCAAAATGTTTCTTTTGTCCTATCACCGACATTTCAGATTGTTGGGGTTTTTTTTTTTTTGACAAATACCTGAAAAAAATTGGCAAAAATGTATTCGTTTAAAAAAAAATTCATTTTTTTTAATCCAAAAACCCAACTTTTTTCCATTGAAAAAACACTTTGGCAGACAATGCCCAGCCAGCTGCAGTGACCAGGTTACATCTCTGCAAGTGACATCTGTGGGGGGGAGGGGGAGGGGAAAGGAGGCTTTCCTTGCCACATGGGATGGCTGTTCCCTGATTGGTTATGGGTGGGGTCCTCATGTTCTGCCACTGGGAATCATGGGGGCCACACGCCTTCTATTGATAACAAGTTCTGCAGGTCCGGCTCCTCGTTACTTCACTGACGTAGCTCCGTCATGGTGTTCTTTTTCTGTGGGCAACTCCTTACCTGGGGCCAGGGACTCAGGATTGAGGGCTTTACTCATTTGTAGGACTTTGTTTGTCTTCTTGGGCACTTTGGGAGGGGTCCCCTGGCCTGCTGCTGCCACGTGAAGCTCAGTGCGATAGTTCTCCTGGCCCTGGGCAGACTGGAGAAGAAAGAGCAATAGGAGAAGGCTGTGGACAGGGCACCAGGAGAGGTTTGCTTCGCTTTGCCCCTGACAACTGAGGTAAGGTCTTGTGGAGAAGATGGAGTAGCAAAGGGCAGGGAAGGAGACTTAGTCACGTCTCCTGAAGGGTGATCGCTTTTTATATTGCACTAGCTCGAGCCAGGCATGGCGTGGCCAGGTGCGGTGCAAGAACTCCCCACGTGCACTTCTGCTAGCGTGCCTTAATGCGTTGCTGCAGCATCCCCTGCTCTGCTAGCCCCAGAACTTCACACGATTCCACCAGTGGCCCTCAGTGAGGACCTACCGGCCCCCTGTTTTCTAATCTTTGGTCCTTTCCAAGACACTTGCATGGTGAATTTGTGATGAACTGCTAGCATCTTGGAGGAAAACTACCACCTTGCTTCACTTTTGCCTGCCCCCGTGAGATTGTCAACCCAGGCCTCCAGCCGTGGAAGGATACTTACGGAGGTTGGACCCGTGGCGCTCCTGCCTCACTCAGAAAGAAGGAGAAAATGAAATCCGGGTGAAATACGCGTACCTTCATCCCAACTGAATAGGCCAGCATGCAGAACAGGCCCCAGAGGGGCACTTTCCAAAGTGCCTTGATGCAAAGAGCATGCAAGCACCCTGCTGCAGGGGGTAACAGCAGCCTGCCAGCCCCCTCGCGGCCCTTTCCAGCGTGTCCTTGCTCAGTGAACGCAGGGAAAGTGACAGGACGCCAGGCAAAGCACTGACCTACAGCTGCCAATGAGGCTACTTCAGTAACCTAGCTCCAGCCCAACTGGCTAGCGCCATCCACTGCTTCTCTTTAAATAAGGGTGCCCCAGGGACACTCACCAGCCACGCGTCCGGTCTTCCCGCCAGGTCCCCCTCAGTCGCGCCGTGCGAGCCGCCTGCTGCCATCCTGCTTGAGCTCTGCGGAGGGCAGGGGGAACGACGTCACTCTCTGAGGGGAGCAGGCCCCACACGCAGCCCCAGTGCTGTCAGCAGAAGGGCCGGCGACGCACGTGGTTTCAGAGTCCCGTTTCCTGGCTCTGCCAAGGGGATCGTTTCCACAGACACTGGCAGTGCCCTCTGGTGACAGCCTGGCTCTCCTCACAGCTGATGGCGCATGGGCCCACAACAAAGATGTCTGCCTCCCCCTCACACTCCTTCCCGTTAAAACATGCCATTACAATAACTGCGCAGGGCTTCCTGTTAACTCAGGGATCCTCATATCCTGGGCTAAGAGGGGCCCTGGTAGGCCAGGGTGCTGGCGTAACGTGTGGGTGTTACAGCTCCCCCTCCGTGCTGATCTAGAGGACCGGCTTTATTACAGCCCTCCTCCATTTCTAGAGCTTCAGCTCAAGCTGCAGCAGCTCTTGTCCTTAGCTCTGGAGGGCCCTGGTTCAGTCCCTGGACTGTCAGCCAAGAGCGTGACCATCATGTGACCCAACAGGGTCAGCTGAGATTTGGGTTCCCATCACGATGAGGCGACTCACGGCTCTGTAGCCAGTAGGATGCTCCAAGATGAACTTCTGCACCCGCTTCTGCCTCTGTTGGAACAGCTGGGAGCCCCTGTTTGTCTGCAGAGACAGCTCTTCCACCATCAGGTCCTGGGGGATGCTGACCTTCTTCCCCAGGTCCAGCTGGGGGACTGAGGACACACACACAGCAGGGCAGAGAAAGCACAGGTGTTGCAATAGGGGGTTAGGCTCTGAGCGAGGGGCCAGTGGCTGTGCATGGGGAGCCGGGAGAGGCGAGGAGAGGGTTTGATTGACTCAGCCCCTAGGAGTGACAAACATCTGGCATAGCTCTGCAGGGCCCATCAGGCTGGTTCAGAAACTGCATTGATGGGAGCCACATCCAGGCAAAGAGGTGGAGACCAGGGGGCTTTGGGGGAGGGAATGAAAAGGGAGGATAGTAAGGGGATCCTGGTGCCGGGAAGGGCTCAGAATAACCTCTAGCGATCTGGGGTATGGGCCCCATTAGTGTTAATTGACAATGTACCGTTCGTTCGTTTGGAAAGTCCAAGGAGGAGACCAGTAACATTAATACCCCTGAAGTCCAGGGGATTTTTGCCAGTGTCTTCAATGGGAACGGGATCAGCCCCAGTGGATTGCATGCGGCACCCTGGGGCTACGTCGTTAAGTCAGTTTAGCACAAGGCACCTCTTACCATCTCCCATCATCTCCGTCACAATGGCCATCGCCTGCTTTTTTCTCTCTCGGGTGTGGTCCAAATGCATAATTGGGAACATCTTCTCACCTGGAAAAGAAGCAGAAGCCCAGCAGGGCTCACACATCAGGGCAGACCCTGGCTGCTACCCACACGTTACCCCCAGTGTGCCAATTGCCCCGTCCCTGGGAAGAACTGATCCCACGTGCAGTTCTGAGGTTCGTGTGATGGCTTTTTGCAAATGGTTACCCTGGGGCCCAGCTTTGCTCCCTTTTGGAAAATATGCACAAAACCAGAGAGAATACAGCTGGAAAAAGGGGGTTTCTCTTCCGCTTTATGATCATAGGAACTGTATCATGCCACCACATCACTCCAACTTCACTGCAAACATCTCCCATTCATTTCAGGACCAGCTCTCCATGTCTCTAACACTATAGAGCTGTTCCAAGTGACCACATCCTGGCCCTCTGTGCTCTCCTCCCCGTTCTCCTCACTATTCTTGGATTAGCTTCTCTCCAACCCCTCACACGCTTCGCCATTGCTGGTGCGAGAGCCTTCTTCTCCGCAGCTCCTGCCATCTGGTGCCGTCTCCTGCAGCAACTCGCCATCTGAAATCTCTTTGCTCCCTGCTCATGCCTCTTAATTCTGCCCTCCGTTGCTGGCTTTATGATTGAGCCACTTAATGTATTCCCCAGGCCAAGATTTTGCACCAAGGCTCTCTGTCCCTGATACAATGCACCGGCCTGCATTAAACTCTGCCAAGCACTGTGGGGGGCTGTCTTGTACGAAAGACGCTATTCAAAATGTACAAATTAAGGTTGCATTGCATTGTATACTGAGCTTTCTGAGCTCAGCTACCCCTCTGCTTAGGCCCTGAAGCAAGAGCCCTTGTGACTGTTAGATTAGCTGGCTGGTGCCACGTTTATTCATAAGCGTCTGCTCCTTTATGTTTAATTTTGCTGTGACTTAATGCCTTGCAGTGGTGAGTTTCTCAAGCTAATGAAAATGTTGCATGTTTCCTTATATGTATTTTAGGGCTGTATTCTACCCTACATCATGGTACAAAACCAATGCTTGGAGCATGGGCAGAACGGGGATCTATGATTTGATCGATCAATCATATTTCTGTGCCATCTAAGCCTTTTAACTTGTACCCTCCTGAAGCCAACAAGAAGCTCAAATCAGTCACTTTTTCTCTGTTTGCAAGTCAGCCTCCAGGAAGGCCCTCACTGGGCGTTTCTTTAGAGAGGAAAAAATAGTCCCCATCTCATTCCTCCCCCCCACACCACCCCCGTAGAATCACAGACTCATCAAAGTGTCGGGCTGGAAGGGATCTCAAGAGGTTCTCTAGTCCATCCTGCTGCACTGAGGCAGGATTAAGTATACGTCTCCCCCCGTGTGGTGCACGAACGGATGGGGTCCCCTTGCCTGAATGGGGCAGCAGGCCAAGTTAGCAGCACCTTGCTCTGCTGTGTGGGTTTCACTACAGAGACCATGTCTGCTCCTCGCTGCCCCCTGAGCTCCCATTTAGCCACGGTCTATTTTAAGCTCCTGACCTTGGTAGAGCGGGGAGTTGTAACCCTGATCCTTTGGGCAAAGAGGACGGCGCCTGGTGGTTCTTGGGAGCTGGAGGGCTAGGTCGGGAGATGCTGGGCTCCCCTTAGGAGAGTCTGATGGGAGTTTAAGGCCCTGCAGGTGCAGCAGTATTTCTAGCAAGCGACTCTGCTACAGCCATAACAGAGAACCGCAGGGACTGCTGGTACAGGGAAGGGGGGAGTTGATACTCCCGATATATGGCAGCTCCTCTAGGACTCGGTGACCCAGCGGGACATCCTCATCCCATTGAAGTCAATGGGACTTTTGTCCTCGCTTTCAATACAGCCTGGATCCCCACCCCCCCAGCGATCAGAGGACGCACAGCTTCCCCACCCCTAGCACCGCTTGAAAGGGTGAACTGGCCTCCCCACCCACAGTCACGCGGGGTCCTTGCCTGGCAAGATCTCTGGACTCAGAGTGGGTTCGTGTTCCACTCCCTATTTCTAGTGTCGCCAAGCACTGGCGTATGGGTTTGCCATTGCCCCTCCAGAGCCCAGGCAATGGGTCTGAGAGAGCTCCTATTCACCCCACCCCATTATCCAAGAACTAGAGTCACTCCATGGAATTGAAAGGCAGCAAATATCAAGCAACTGACAGGAAATGCTTCGCTCACCACGGCCTGTGGAACTCACTGCTGCAGGGTATTATGGAGGCAAATACCCCATTTCCAGCCGGCCCAACGCACAGCCACGGATAAGATTAGCCTCTGCAGCAGCACTAATAAGGAAACATTACAAGACACCTCATGCTCCAGGATATCAGCTGATCACCAGCTGGGTGCAGGAACAAACTTCCCCTCCAGTGCAACTGGGGCCATTCTGGGGGTGTTAGTCTCTGCAGCATCCAGTATGAGTCACTGTGGGAGGCAGGGTATGGGGCGAGATGGCCCATTGGCCTAGCTGTGCATGTGAGTAGCCATTTCTCTGTAGTGTAGCCAACAACTCCACAGCGCCGCCCCCACCCCCCTAGCTCCCATGTCCTGGGCTGCTGCCCATCTTGCCCACAGCAGCGGCTCCCTGAGAGCTGCAATGCCTGCTTTGCTAGCCCCCATAAGGGGGTTCCTCAGAGCCAAGCTGAATGCACCTAACCACCTCCCCAGCCCTCCCCTCTTCCTCGGGCTCTGGGATGGAGACCCCCCATGCCCAGATCTGCTGCGTGGCACTCAGGGAGCCAACCGCTGGCGTGGCGGCTTCTCACTGTGGCTCCTCCACGTCCATTTGCTCATGTCACCTGCACTTGTGTCTTTTCGATTGTAAACCTCCCAGGGCTGGGAGGGGCTAACTCTGGGTCTGGGTTTGTACAGGGCCAAGCACACCGGGGCCCGGGCCGAGCCCCTACCGAAATAGATGTGGGCAATAACACTCCCAGCCCAGCCTGCTGGGGTGGTGGCTTTTCCTCAACACCCAAACACATGAACGCAGGTCAAAGCCCTCTCCTGCCCAGCTGTCAAGATTCTCCTCACCAGCACCAGATACCCTGTCCTATTTATAGGGCCCTACCAAATGTACGGCCATGAAAAATGTGTCACAGACCATGAAATCTGGTCTCTCACTGGGAAATCTGGTCGTTTGTGTGCTTTGACCCTATACTATACAGCTTTCACAGGGGAGACCAGCATTTCTCAAATTGGGGGTCCTGACCCAAATGGGAGTTGCAGAGGGGGGTCGCAAGGTTATTTTAGTGGGGGCCGCGATATTGCCACCCTTACTTCTGCGCTGCCTTCAGAGCTGAGCATCCGGAGAGCGGTGGCTGTTGGCTGGGTGACCACCTCTGAAGTCAGCGCCCCGCCAGCAGCAGCGCAGAAGGGTGGCAATACCATACCATGCCACCCTTACTTCTGCGCTGTTGCTGGCAGTGGCTCTGCCTTCAGAGCTGGGCTCCCGGACAGCAGCTGCCACCCTCCGGCCCCCCATCTCTGAAGGCAGGGCAGCAAGGGTAGCAGCACGACCATCACCCCCCCAATCTCGTGACCACCCCCACAACTCTTTGTTGGGTCAGGATCCCTAGAATTACACTGTGGAATTTCAGATTTAAATAGCTGAAATCATGAAATTTACAATTTTTAAAATCCTATGACAGTGAAATTGACCAAAATGGACCCTGACTTTGGTAGGGCCCTAACTATTAACTCTCCAGGTTCCAGCCCCCAGTGAGTCTGAGCTGAGCCAGCCACACGGAGGCTAACAAGCGGCTGGGGGAAGACAGCCTGCTCCTCATGGGGGTCAAACTCCAGTGTGCTGCTGAGTTCCCTCCTGCTGCTGCTGAACGTAGCAATTGCTATTCCTCCCGAGTTCAGAGCCCAGCTCTTCGTACCTGACTGTGTGACTCCTCGGACGCTGTCTTGCTGCGATGCTGTTAGATGAAAGGAGCTTTCCCGCTGCGCCCGCTCCGCCCAGGGACTAGGCCTGGGTTTGGGATTCCTTAACAGCTTTCACAAACCTACCCCAGAGCCCAGTGTTTGCCGGTAGCCCCTGTGTCTTTCTTACCCCCTCTGTGCCTTGCTCGCACTCAGCCTGGACCATCGCTGAGATTCCTCGGTCCTAATCCATGTTACATCAGACATTTATTTCTGGCTGAGAAAGGGGGCGGAGGCAGCACAGACCCTGGTGAGCCAAGCTCCAGACCGTTAAGAGCATGCACACACACACACTTGCTCATGCTCAGGCATACAAAGCCATATGTGTGCACCCAGGTAAGGAGTTTACACACAAATGCATAAACATGCCCGTATATATGGAGGCATTAGCGATTGTACAGCACTTCAAAGACAGACAGTGCCAGGGAAGTGCTAAATGCCCTAGCGGGAGATACAAACGAATGCAGGCACGAGAGAAGGGAAGCTAGAGGCTTTCTTTAATAATGCCAGGGCAAAGGGGTATTTGATTAAAATCAAAGGCAACCCATTTACGATAAATACAGGGAAATACTCTGTTATGCGCTTCTTATTTATTATCATTATTTTTGGAGCACAGAGCACTTTGCAAAACATAGAGACAGAAAAGGCCCCCTGCCCCAAGCTGTTTACTCTAGAATTCAAATGAAGGGCACAATAAAATCGGCGGAACTCATTGCTACAGGATATTAGGGTGGTAAACAGCGCAGTTCACAAGCGTGTTAGCAATTTAGAGGGGTAAGAATAGTATCTGCAGGGCCAGTAACAAGAATCAAATTATAAGAGGACACAAACTTCACAGTTCAGGCCTAAGCTGCTCACCAGCTGGGGTCAGGAAGAGTGGCTCCCACGCTTGGCCGGGCTGTGGGATAGCACCGCACAGTGAGGTGCAGGCCTGGAGCTTCCTGGAGCATCCCATTGGCTGCTTTGGGCTCTTATTTAGACTCACATCTGTGTAATAATACCAAGGGGGGGGGGGGTTCTCCAGCTCACAATCCCCTCTTGAGGAGCCTTCTCAGTCCAGTTTGTAGGAGGAGAGAGCAGGAAAGACCCCCATACTGCAAACATACCTGCGGCCATTACTGGTTGAGAGGCTCATGCCCGCCAGCTCTGAGCCGCCTGATGGGGCCTGGCTCCTACCTAGCCCGGCCGGAGGATCTCTCCATTCCAGCCAGCTCAACTCCAGCCTTCCACCGCTAGGGACATTGGGCAAAGCTTTTCCCCAGCTGCTGATACGGGTTCAACTCCACCACTGGCTCAATGACCTGGTGGCCTATGGCCCCCACGGCTCCCGGTGGCACTCACCCCAGCAGCTAGCGCCAGCGGGGGATTATTTCCCTAGTGTAGATGAGATTCCTGTATCAGCCCATCCCCCCTGTGTGGGGCTCTGACACTGACCATTCAAACAGGGAGCAGCTGACTAAACCCAAATGAATTGGGGGGGCGGGGAAGGGGGACTTCAGGGGGGGGGGACACAATGGGAGATGCTCATTCAGCTTTGCTGCCACCTGGTGGCTATTCCTTATCACGGCAGGTTTAGTGTAGGAAAGGCCTGCCGCGCCCCATCCATTGTAGCTAATTAGCAAGAGTCAATTGAGCGTGGCAGTTATTCGCTGCCCATCCAGTCTGTGGGTACCTCCACCACAGTGACGCCATGATTCCCCTGGCAGGTCTAAGGCACCACGGGCGAGATCACTGCGGCAGCGTAGTGGGCCCAGGGAGCAGGGCTGGGACTGGTGCGCCTCACCCAATCCAGGGGGCACACTGCCATTCCAATGACAATTGCATCTGCAGGCAACGCTGCCCCTGCACTCTCCTTCTAGCGCCTCTGTGACGCCATTGGATTATGCCAGCACCGCGGTTCAACGGGCCACCTTCTCCCGCCCCCAAACGCCTCCTGCGAGCACTGTGCGGGGGCTCCGGTTCTAGTGGGGCTGAGTGGCGGGGGAGGTGTGTCCAGGGATGGGCTCACAGCTTAGGTTTGCTGTTAGACAAGACAGGGATACTGCGATGTGTGAGCTGTAGGGAGAGGCAGCCTCCATCCCTAGGCAGGGCCGGGTATCAGTCCACAGAGCTCCCTCGTACGTCACACCACATGGCAGCGGTGCACGAGGGGGAGCTGGCGCACCAGCTTTTCACCTTGCCCCTGCAACTGGGACAGGAACAAACCTGGGCGCCTGGGGAAGGTTCCATCCTCTTCCTGCAGCACGGCCTTTGCTACCCCAGACCATCCAGCATCCTACGACACCCCCCCACCCCCGGGCTGAGCCACTTGGGAGCGCTAGAGAACCCCAAACTGCCACTACCATGAGCAAGATGCATGAAGCCCAAGGCAATTCTTAGCTAGCCTTTAATTTTACCCCAAGTAGGTAGAGCGCCCACCTGATGCTGCAATTGGGCCAGCCAGGACGCCTAGCATGCCTAGGGGGGTCACTCCTGGCTGGGTGGCTGGGGTTTGAAAGGACACAGGCAGGCCAGACTGGGTGGGATAACGGCGGTTTTATTTTCGAGCATGGTATACAGTGATGTGGCAAAATGCGCGTCAAAGAGCAGCTGGTGAAGCAATGGCCAGGAGCACCTGACGCGGTCTCTGTGTGGAACAAAGGTGTCCCAGCAGGCCAGAGCCACCGGGGCTGGTGTGCCCTGCTTGAGCGGGTTCTCTTTGCTTAGTGGTGAGTAATGGACACAGGCAAGCCAGCCTCAGCTGCACTCGGACGCCTGCGCAGTGGGGTCACACAGCATCGCGGTGATGAGGGTTTGGGACAGTCCACTGGTTCCTCCCAAGGAGTCCTCAATCCATGGGCCCCTTCCCCTGCTGGAGAAGTGGCACACTCTGAATGGAGCCATTCCAGCCCCCTCCCCAATCCCACCCCCGGTTGGGACAGCTCCCTGCCCAGCCCCCTCTGAATAACCCAGCTTAAAGGGCCCTCGCCCATGGGGCACTGGGGCTGGCCAGTGTGAAAGGGGAGCCCAACGTGCGGAGTGGGTCTGGATGAGCATCCCAGGAAGGAGCCCGGCAGTTAGAGATGGAAAAAGCTAATTACTAGGGGGCCCGAGTTAAAGCCCATTGAAGTCACTGGGCGTCTTGGGATAACCCCTTAACTGCCAGGCTGGGAGCTGCTCCCCAGCGGAGAGCATGCAAGAGCCTACAGTGCTCCGCCCCTGGAGGACATTTCATCTCTGGTTAGTGAGCTAGTTGTGTCCCTGCACGACTGCCTGGCTGCACATGTACTGGGGGGGCCTGCCGTGTCGGAGAGCAATGTCGTTCCGCACTGCCCATCGCTCATCAGTAATCAGTTAGTATTTATCTGACCTACAGCAACTAGCATTTAACCAGCGCTTGCCATGACATGCCCCATGGCCCACTGGGCTTGTGCTGTCCCAAGCGGACAGGCTAAAACATCCCCCATGTCACACCTCCCTTCACTTTCAATAACCTCTGCAGTGCCACGTCTCTCGCTAGCCCTCGCCTCATTGTCCTGGGGCTCTTGTCCTGAACTGCTCCATGCCCCAGTGCGCTGCTCAGCCCTACACACCCATCACCCCTTCTCAGCACTTGCTCACACCCGCTCTGAACACCTACCTGTCCTCCCTCTCGCCACACACATCCTCCCTGCCGCAACGACCCGGCCCAGGCCCCCTCACGCCCAGCCACGGCGAGCTGGGCTTGCCTTGGCCATGTGATTGTCTCTGTGTGATCGAGTGGGGCCCGTCCACTTCACTGGCGCTATGGATCCATCAGCCACAGGGTGTGCAGACGTCACAGGGTCCCACCCAGCGACTCTTTCTAACCAGTCTTAGCAAACCTGGTAATAATGCATGTGATTTATAGCCAGGTTGGGGGGGGTTGGTTTTGTGCTCCTGGCTTTGTTGCGAGGGTCAGATTCTTGCCTCTCAGCGCTGCAGACTGAAATGCTCTCTGTAGCCCCAGGTTTCAGCACGGGTCAGCAGCGACATGAGCTTCCCCCACAAGTTGTGTCTCTAACCTCTCCTGCATGGGGCCACCGCTAGGAATGAGATGGTTCCCAGGACCTTCAGGGGAGGGCCACCAAATGGCATCAGTAGCAACCCTGTGGGATGAACCGCTGTCCATGAGACGTCGCACTGGGACCCGGAGCCAGTAAACAGTTCTCTCCAGCGGGGAAGACTTTTGGTCTTGCCTGGGTCTTCCCTCACAGCAGTGACCTGGAAGCAATCCCTGGAGACAACCAGCCCCACAGGGATGAGCTGGCTGCTAATGTCCTGGGCACTTTAGCTAATGACCAAAGCCGCGTGCACTCAGAGGGTGCTCCCTCCCTCTCAGCCCATTGGCCCCCCTCAGCAACATGCCCCTCGGCGCAGGGCTTCTGGGCCAGAGCAGAGCTCTGGCTGCCCCCTCGTCCTGTTTCCTGCGAGCAGCCCCGGCGACGTGTGCGCCCACATCTCTGCAGCCTGGTGGGGGCACTAGAGGGCGGAAGGGAGCTGGGGGCGAAATGGGAAGGAGTTGCCATGAAACATAAACTTTTGTGAAATGTGTTTTTTTTTTGGCTTGTTTAGGGATGAAAAAGTTTTTTTAAAAAGCCTTTTTCAGGGTGTCTTTGCTGAAAAATGAAATGGGACGTTTCCAAAGAAACAAATCATTGCCCTGGAGATTGCCCTAGGGAAGGGGGGCGGGGGGGTCATTTTTCCTTGAACAAAATTTCACATGAAAAATTCCAACTGGTTCAAAGGGCTTGTGTAGTTGCCCCAACTAACCCCTAGAGGGCTCCACTTTGTGGACTGTCGCCTCCTCCTGGGAAAACATGGGCCGAGGAAGCGGCTGTTCCCTGACGGGGGGTGCCATGCGCTCCCTGGCTGTCACTCTCTGTTGGGTTCATTGGTTTCCATGCTCACAGCAGAAGCTGGCTCTTAGCATGTGATTTCGCCCCCCCCCCCCCGCCCACGCCATTCCTTTAGTGAAACCAGAGCGGCAGAAATGCCCCCGGGGGGCTCTGGGAGGCCAAGGGGCTGCGGGGCGGCAGGGGGGGCGGAGATCTAGACACTCGTGTGCCTGTGCACGGATATGGTAACTCCCCGGGGGAGCTGGGCCCAGCTCGGACGCTTGGGTTCGCAGAAGCAAACCTTTCCTCTGCTTGCTCCCTGCAGAATAGCGTTCCCCTCCCGCCCAGGGTGAGTTTTTGCTCTGGCTGGGGAGGGGTGAAAGGATGCACCCGTCTGGGACATGCCTGAGCGTGGGAGTGGCCCTGGTGCGGTGCGCCAGGAGCAGGAGCCAGGCGGCTGTGCTGCCCCGGCGGCTCCCCACAACCCCACCCCGCAGGGCCTGGGAGCAGCACAGGGGGCTGGGAATGGGGAGAGACCCCTGAGCGCAGGCGGGGCCGGGCCGCCCTCCCTGGGCTCACCCGGCATTAAAGCCGGGCGCACTCCTCCCTTGAAAGGTCAGGGCAATAAAACCAGAGGCTGGCCAGCTTATCGGGGCAGCTAGGGTAACACCAGACACCGCTCTGCCAGCCCATGGCTGTGTGCCACCCTGCCAAGCATACAGAGAGCGAGCGAGTGGGGGGACCAGCCCGGGGCGGGCAGGAGGGGCTGGGCTGGCCAGGGAAAAAGCCAAGGGGCTCAGGCGTTGGTTTTCTTTCCCCAAGACACCGTGCGTGGCCGGGGACCATGCCACGGCGGGGACTTCGTGGAGAAGCTCTGGCTGCTCTGGGAACCTGCAGCAGTGAAATACCGTTGTGCAGCAGGGTCTGCAGTGCAGTCTATCGCTTAGGCCAGTGGGCACATTCAGATGCCCCCAACCTCCCCTCTAGTTTGCGGCAGCCTCTCTCGGAGACTGGCTATCGGCTAACGAGGCTGATGATTCACCCGATGACTCCCCACAAACGTCGGGCCAGACGTGCTGCCGACGACGCCAGAGCCCCATGGCCAGGTGGGTGGCAGTGCCCGGCCTGGCCCAGTGACACGCTGGCATGCACGCCTGTCTGTGCATCCACCTAGAGCCAGCCTGGAGAGGGCCTTGTACCTTCCCAGGGCCTCCTCCCCAGAGTCCCTTCAGCACGGCTCCGGTGGGCTCCTTTCAGCTCCTCCTCACAGCCAGCCGGAGCGCTGCAGGGCAGGGGGAGTCCTTCCAGGGCAGTGCCCGGGACCCGTCGGCTCCATCCATTTTACCCAGCAGGCCACTTGCCAAGAGGGAGCCTCTCTCTCGGGTCCACCTCCAACCCCACCCCCGCTGCTTCGGTCTCGGGGTTGTTCATGGCTCAGGCCCCCAGGCAGGGTCCAGGGGAGAGTCGGAGAGGGCGGCCGCACACGCGACGTGGCTCTAAATCGCTGGTGGCTCCACTCAGGCCCCTAGGACAGGCCTCCCCGGCGGCCATTCTCCAGAAGCAGGCTTTAGCTACAGCCAGCTTGGTTGGCGAGGGTGCATGGCGCACGGTAGCGGGACGTTGGCGTGGGGAGTAGGCTTTGGTCACAGGAATGCTGACTCCATCATGCCCTGCCTGGGCACTGTGGATCGGCCTAAGGCACCACCTGCCCCCTGCCGGGGGAACTCCGGCTCCCCTCCGGGATATGAGCTACAGACTCGCCACGCCTCCCTCGAGCGCAGGGAGCTGCCCTGCCACCGGGGCCCTTCGGCTGTGGGGTGGGAGCCAGGATTTTGCTGTTCTCTCCCCCGAGGCAGCTCCATTCTCTCCTGTCCTCGCCGCCTCGGCTCCGGCAGCCCTGCCCTGCGCTCCGAGAGTGGGACAAGCCCCCAGCTGCCGCAGAGCTCCGGTCCTTGGGCTGCCGGGACTCAGGAAAAGCCAGGCCCTGCAGCAGGGTTTGCAGGAGCAGCCGCTGTGCAGGCTCTTCCCCCTGCCTTTCCCCGGGCCCTCAGGCAGCTGGAAGCAGGCCTGATCCCTGGCCTCCGCAGAGCCCACAAAGGAAACAATGGGATTCAGAGGCAGCAAGCTGGAAAGCCCGTGGCTGGCGGCCGCCCAAGCCCCCTCGGGCCACTCGCTGTCTCTCTGCTGGGGATTACGCAGCCGGAAGGACGGTCTCAGGGCTGCCTGCCTGCCGTCTGTGGCCCCCTCGTCCCGGGCAGAACAAAAGCAGCGCCAGGCTCCCTCGTCCCACGGGGCTGAGATGTCATTGCTGGTTCCAGTCCAGCCGGGAGAGCAAAGTCTGGGGAAGCAGAATACGTGCAGGGATGGAGTGAGGGGCTCAGCAGCGGCATTGGCTTGGGGGGGGGGGGTGGGAGTCTGGATCCGGCAAAGTTAGCGGGCACCATCCTGTGGCTGGCTGTCGCAGGCCAGACTGGCATCTGCTGTCTAAACCCTTTGGGGAGAGGTGCTGCGGAGGTGGGGAGAGAGATCATCTCTATCATCTGTCCCCACAGCCCCCAGCATTCTCCGCCCACTGCCGCGTGGCTTGGTCGGCAGGACTGGGTGCTGGCGAGTCTATGCATCAATTCAATGGGCTCCAGTCGTGTCCTTGCTCACGTCACTTGTCTCTTCCTGGCCTAGGAGGTGCAGGGCGCTTCCGAGGGCAGGCGGCCCTGTTTCAGCCGCACGCTCCCGTTCCAGCCCCGGGGGCAGATGTTAAAGCTGCGGATCCCGGGAGACTTGACCCCAGAGTCTTCTGAGTCGATGGACACATCCGAGTCCGTGGGGGACCTGGAGGTGTAATGCTTCACGGGGGACCTCGCTCCCGCAGGGGGCGACTGCACCGGGCGAATGAAGGTCGGCGAGTAGGAACCCAGGCTCCTGGGACTGGTACAAGAAGATGTGTTGGCCGGTAGCACCCCAGCGCTGGCGGGTGGCATGAGAATCCTGTGACCATCCGTCCAGGTGGCTTTTGGAGATGGCACTGGGTTCCTGTAGGTTGGAGAGTGGCTGGCTGTGGTGCCAGGGCTGCTGCCAGCTGTTGCGTTGAGCGCTGGTGCCCCGGTGTTTGCGGGTAATGTGAAGGACCTGTGCCCATCCGTCCTGGTTGCTCGCGGCGACTGCAGTGGGCTGATGTAGGTCGGGGAGTGGCTGCCCAGGGTCCTTGGGCTGATGCAGGACGAGGTGCTGAATTGTGGGGTCCCGGTGCTGGTGTGTCTGTGCCCATCCATCCTCGTGGCTCTCGGCGACTGCGGACTCGGGGAGTGGTTATCCAGGGCTCTCGGGCTGCTGCATGGAGATGCGCTGGCAGGTGGTGCCCCAGTGCCAGCGGGCGGCGTGAATGGCCTGACGCCGTCTGGCCCCAGGGCTTTGGGGGAGGAGCTCTTCCTCCTGGCAGCATTGATGATGTTCCTGGCGAGCTGGGCCTGCATCTGCCGGCTGGCCTTGGGCTCTGCCTCCTGCCGCAGTGGGGAGAGGGACCTCTCGCTCCACGACGGCGACATGGGAGGAGGGGGGCTCCTCACACTGGCTGCTCGCAGGGCCGCCGCAGGCCTTTCCTGAGGCTCCGGCGTCGGGCTCGCCCACCCCTCGAAGGGGCTCGGGTGGGGCACCAGTCGTGGGGTCCAGGTCAGGGAGGCAGGCAGGGACACTCTTCTTTCCTGCAAGGGGAACACAGAGCACAGCTGAGTGTCAGGCTGACAAGGGATGCTGGGACAAAGAGCCAGTGAGGGACCAGGAGACCGGAGCATTGGACTGGGAGTTGGGGCTTCTGGTGCCGCCACTGACTTGCTGTGTGACCGCAGCCAAAGCTTGTGACCTCCCGGGGCCTCCGCTTCGCCGCTGGTAGAGTGGATAATAACACCCTCCGCACTGGCAGCTCTGGGAGCAAACTGCTTAATAGCTGGCAAGAGCTTTGAGATTCTCAGATAGCACAGAAGGGCAAACCCTTCCTCTGTCTCCTTCTCCCTTAACCCTGCCCCCTCCCATCCCTCTCAATCAATGGCTGGGGCAGGCTGCTAGATGTGATGGCAGGCCAGGAAGCCCCGCCTTCAAAAGGTGGGACTTCCCAGAGTGAGACCACAAACCTGGCCAATCAGCAACTCCCAGCAAAGCAGGCTGTGTGCCTAAAATACCAGCCTCACCCACTTGACCTCTGCTATCAGAGACAGCACAAACCCTTGCGAGACCAGCTCTGCCGTGGCTCTACCCAGCCTCCTTGGAGCACTCCCTGTGCTCAGCGTCAGAGGAGGGCTGTGCTGGGGGGAGGCGGCAGCGGGGCATACTGGGTTATGTTAGCACCGTGGGCCCATTTATTCATCCCGGAGATCAGGAGAAGCAAACCACACGTCCAGGCATTTTTGGCCAAGAACATCCTGCTTTTTTCTGATGCCTCCGTCTGCCCGGCAGGGACTCGGGGTCCGACGCTGCGCCCCTTACTCACGCTGAGTAGCGCTTGCTCTGACCCCCTTGGGACTACTCCCGAGTCGGTGCTACCAGCGTGAGCGAGGGCTGCCACACCAGGGCCTCACTCTGGGAGTGTTCAGTACTTAATGCCTCCCTTCAGCCCCCTCACCCCTTTATAGCCTGGTGCCCATTAACCACCGCAGTGTTGCATTGCTCCTGTCTCCTGGGGCCCTGCCTAGCTCTCCCTCCTGGTCTCACTCTCTGGAGGAGCGCTGGCTTGGCACATGCCAGGCTGTCTCCAGAGGCATGGCGCCCAATAATGCTCTCAGCGTCCTCAGTGCCTGGGGAGGGGGGGCTGGCCACCGGGGGTAGCCCCCTCCCTCCTGGCAGCAGGGAATGGAGCAAATGGCTGGAGAGATGCCGTCAAGCCAAGCTAACGGAGAAGGGATGCAGAGGACGAGGTGGGGGGAGGGGGAACAGGACGGCATATCATTAGGCTTCTCTTGTTCCGCTCGCTCCTCCTCCCGTGCCATGCACGCATGCTGCTCAGAAGCATGGAGGCCTCATTGACAAACGGGTGAGAGCCCTGTCACACAGGCTGGCCAAAGGGAGGTAACGCCAGACACAGGCAGGCAGGAGCCTAGCAGGCCAGGTCCGAGCAGGGCATAGGTGCCCAAGGAAAGCGACATGAGGCAGGGCTGGGGCCTGGAGCACGGTGCGGCTGGGATAATACTGCCTTGGGCCAGTAAAGCAGGAGGAGACAAGAAGCCAGGCAAGGGCTTTCTCAGCTCTGGTGACCTCGGCCTCAGCCAAAGCCCAGGAGAGTCCTTCCATTGACGTCAATGGGCCTTGGGTTAGATCCCCTCTGAGCTTCACTTCCTGTTCCTTCTGCAGTGCTGGCTCCACGCGCTCCGGCTCGCTCTCAGCCCAGCTCACGCCTCCTAATCCCTGCGCCCCGATTCTGTTCCTAGCCCGCGCGCTGCACACGGCAGGGCCAGCACCCCCAGTGCTAGCAGCTCACCATCCACAGGCATGCTGCATCCGCACAGCAGAGACTGGGCCTCAGGGGACTGGGATCAAACACCCCCCGGCGGCAGGGACGGTTTAACGTTGGGCTGGGCCATGCGGGATCTAAAGAGGAACCCGTGGGTCTATCTCCCTGCCGGTCCCGCCAACCACCCGAGGCCCTTCCTGCCGCCTTCCGCTGCTACCTCTTGGTCCTGAGTCTTGGCAACACGTAACCTCTGCTGTGACAAGGACACGCAGCCGCCAGCCCAAGCTCTGCCTCCGACCCTGAAACGGCTCCGCGTTGGACACTCCAGCGGGGAGTGGTTCAATTCCCTTTGCCGGCAACACTCCAGCTCTCTGGAGGTCCCCTCTCCCAGCCCAGGAGCTGCAGAGGGCACCAGGGCATGGGGCTAAAATGCCTACCAGGCCCGATGGGACCCAGCTCAGCCACACCCCAGACAGCATTTATCAGCTGACTAGACCAGTGGTGGCAAACTACGGCCCGCAGGCCACATCCGGCCCATGGGACCCTCCTGCCTGGCCCCTCAGCTCCTGCACCAGGAGGCTAGCCCCCGGCCCCTTCCCTGCTGTCCCCTCTCCCCCGCAGCCTCAGCTCGCTTGCTCCGCTGCCGGCGCAATGCTCTGGGCGGCAGGGCTGCGAGCTCCTGGGGCAGCGCAGCTGCAGAGCCGGGGCCTGACCCAGTGCTAGGAGCTGCGCGGTGGCGTGGCTGGCTCCAGCCGGGCGGCGCAGCTGCCTGTCCGGGTGCTCTGGGCGGTGCAGCTGTAGTGCCGCCAGCCACCAGTGCTCCAGGCAGCGCGGTAAGGGGGCAGGGAGTGGGGGGGGGGATTGGATAGAGGGCAGGGGAGTTCGGGGTGTGGTCAGGGGATGGGTGTGTGGATAGGGGTCAGGGCGGTCAGAGGGCAGGGAACGGGGGTTGAATGGAGCAGGAGTCCCCGGGGCAGTCAGGAAGGAGAGGGCAAGTTGGATGGGGTAGCGGGGGGCAGTCAGGGGTGGGGTTTCTGGGGCCGGTCAGGAGACAGGGAGAAGGGGTGGTTGGATGGGGCAGGGGTCCTGGGAGGGCCGTCAGGGAACAGTGGGGGTTGGATGGGGCAGAAGTCTGGGGGGGGCATCAGGGGCAAGAAGCGGGGGGGGGGGGTCGCTTAGGGGGCAGGGCTGGCCCACGCCTGGCTGTTTGGGGAGGCACAGCCTCCCCTAACCGGGCTTCCATACAATTTCCAAAACCCGATGTGGCCCTCAGGCCAAAAAGTTTGCCCTCCCCTGGACTAGACTATCCAACTATCTAGCAGGGAGAAGCTGCTCATGGCACATGGGCGCCCCCTGCGGGCGCAGCCAGGGCTGCCACGCTGGGTCGGTGTGAAGGAGAATGAGGAGGGCAGACTGAAAAGTTTCATCGAGACACACAATAAAAATCCTCCCTCCTCCAAAACCCAACACTCCCCCCCCCAGGTCTGGCCTTGCCAGCCAAGGGGAACTCCGGAGGAGCACGCAGGGGCACACCCTGCCTCTGCACCCAGGCTGGATTTGCAGTGGGCGTGTTCAGTCGAGACAAGGAATTGGGCTGAGCTCTCTCCCCTGCAGCTGACGGTGGGCAGTGTCTTTGGACCACGCCAAGTGGCAACTCTAGGGGAGCCTTACCAGTGACTAATGTAGATGTAGCCGTGTGCATGTAGGTGCTTCTGCGCCTGCCCCGGTGCGTGTGCACACGGGCCTGTCTGTGTGTGGGCATAAGGCGGTGAGATTTCAGCAAATGCAGACAGAGCCAAGCCAGCGTTCGTCAAGCTTGCTTGCTAAACTAGCAGGAAAACCTGCGGCAGCCGCCTGGCCTGAGTACATACTCAGGCTCCCAGGTAGGACGGCACTCAGCCAGCCAGCCAATGCTGCTGTGGCTTCACCGCTATTCACTCCAAGCTAAGTCACGTATGCCTACAGAATTGCGGCAGGACCTGGCGACTTTTACGTAGCGTTCCAGCCAGAAGCAGGGTGGCACAGATTCACCTCGGAGCGATTGCGAGGGACAGCGTTCTGTCACTCCGCCCTGACGTCACTTTCCTCTTGAGGAGAGCGCGTCAGGAAGATCAAATTTCCAAGTAAGTCAGGGAAACATCACAACGGCGAATCAGCCAAGCACCGGAGTGGGGCGTAGCATGGGTGTGCGGGGGTGGTTTTTCGGAGACAAAGACACTGCCCTCTGGCACCCCACTGACTTCACATCCTAACCCGCGTTTACACAGCACCTCTGATTCCAAAGGCTCTCCCAGGGTTTTACACCCGACGGGACAACTCTGCAGCTGGAGTAAATTGACACAACTCAGTTGACTTCAGGGGAGCTTTGCTGATTGACACCAGCTGTACGTGTACAGAGCGAAACGGCGGGGGAAAGCCGAATGTAGTCACTAGGCATGCAGCCGGGCAATGGCCTCACCGGGCCAACTTTTGCCCAAAATGCACGACGAGATGGTTGATTACCTGTCACATCTCTCTGGGCCTATGACATGAGGGTCGCCCTAAATGACTTTCCCTTACACGACCTAATGTGTTTCTCCATACTTAGAGCACCAGCAAAGCCAATACCCAAGAATGGCGGAGCACAAGAGGCCCCTCCCCACCACGCCTGCTGCCACCAGGGGGCTGATGATGGAGGAGGAGGAGGGAGTGGGAACAGATAAGCTCCTTGGGCAGGGCCAATCTTTTGATGCATTATCTGGACAGCACCTACCACAATGGGGTCCTGGCCCAGGGCTGGAGGTTCTAGACCCTCCCACCATACAAATCATAAATAATAACCCTGAAGGTACAAGCCAGGCCTGTTAGTTTTGCTACGCAGTGTGTCAAGCTCCAAGAGGAAAGAGCAGAACCAGACTAGAGATCTGTGCGTGTATTCAGAGCCAGTAAAGGAAACGGACACAGAGGAATTAAAAGCACAGTCGAAAGTAACCTTGTTAACATGGAAAAAGTGGAGAGACCAAGTGAGCTACAAAACCTTTACTAGCGTTCTGCCCTGGGTTAATTCAGCAGCTGGGATGGTAGCTACATTTCCAATACGCATGCTCAAAAGTGCAGGGAAGGCACCGAACTGGTGAGCGCTTCCTCTCTGCCCGGTTCCTTGCTCTGGAACGCTCCTTCCGCTGCATTTGTTCCAGGATGTGCTGTGAGTCACTGGCCCATCCCTTCCCCGGGAAGAGCCCACCCACCTGTCCAACTTGACACTGCCAAACCCATGATCTAACTAGGAAATGAGGCTTGTCCAGGTGCTGCAGAAGCTAAGGGCCTAGTCTAGCTGGCAAGCGTGTCTGGGCTTCCTCGGGTCACGGTTCTGGCTAGTGAGCCTGGAAATCAACCTAGGAACAACCTCTCCTTCTGCAGGCTCAGAGCAGCTCCAGTGATGACAGTGGGGGTTACCTGCATCCTGTAGCAGAACAGGCCTCCTGTGTCTCCCTGGCACAATCTAGCCAGGGAGTTGCCATGCACTGTACTGTAGCTATCCTGTCACTGCATAGCAGTAAACCCCTCCCCAAAGGCTGGGCCAAGGGGCCAGGCCCTGCAGCCATCGCTCAGCCCTAGAGCGGGGAGAAGAGTGAATCACATTCTCCACCCTACAGTCAAAGATTTCGTGAAACTCACTGAATAAATTATTTGACGAGTATTGTTTGACCATCTCTACCTGGATCAACGCCCTGTGAGCCCAATGGGGGTTTGACCTGAGTAAAGACTGCAGGATGAGCCTCTTCCCCTGGAAATACCCAGCTCTTCCATGACAGCCAGTAACACCCAGCTATCCCATGAGATTAACCCTGTAATTGTCCCGCTCTTCCATGACAGCCAGTAAACACCCAGCTATCCCATGAGATTAACCCTGTAATTGTCCCGCTCTTCCACGACACCTGGTAAATACCCAGCTATCCCATGAGATTAACCCTGTAATTGTCCCGCTATTCCACGACACCTGGTAAATACCCAGCTATCCCATGAGATTAACCCTGTAATTGTCCCGCTATTCCACGACACCTGGTAAATACGCAGCTATCCCATGAGAATAACCGTGTAATTGTCCCGCTATTCCACGACACCTGGTAAATACCAGCTATCCCATGAGAATAACCCTGTAATTGTCCCGCTATTCCACGACACCTGGTAAATACCAGCTATCCCATGAGATTAACCCTGTAATTGTCCTGCTATTCCATGACGCCTGGTAAATACCCAGCTATCCCATGAGATTAACCCTGTAATTGTCCCGCTATTCCACGACACCTGGTAAATACCAGCTATCCCATGAGATTAACCCTGTAATTGTCCTGCTATTCCATGACACCTGGTAAATACCCAGCTATCCCATGAGATTAACCCTGTAATTGTCCCGCTCTTCCACGACACTTGGTAAATACTCAGCTATCCCATGAGATTAACCCTGTAATTGTCCTGCTATTCCACGACACCTGGTAAATACCCAGCTATCAGATCGAGATTTACCCTGTAAATGCCCTGCTGCCATACGGTAACTATTGTTCCATCCCATAAGTACCTGACCTACTAACACCCTGCTACTCCACGGGCACTTGCCTCATATGTAAATCTGTTTCCATAGCCTAGCATTCACCTTGTCACTTCTAGCTGTGCCTCGCCAGTGAAATGGCAGGTAGGAGGTACAGTGAGCAGTACTGGCACTTCCCATGGACCGTAAGTAACACATCATTGTTTTGCTTGTATGGTAACGTTTCATTACCCTGTCTGCTCCTGATGTTGATTCCCTGTCAGTAATTGTTTCCCCAGTGTCCCTGCCTGGGAATGCTGACTGGAGCTTGTCACTCCTTCCACCCTGGCCTGGCAAAACAAGGTGTCAGCCAGGCTAGTGGGATCACAGAGAGACCAGGCAGATTAGACTGTAGCATTGGGGGTACCAGCATAAATAGTGCCCTAGCTGTGGGAATTTTGCATGATTCATTTTACTAGCAAATCGCCTAACAGAACCGGGCTGTAAATTGCGGTGCATGCCACAGACACACTATAAAGTGCTAGGTGTCGGTTTAACTGGAGACCTTTCCTCCAGCTGCTTTTTAACAGAACAATTCCTGGCACCGTTCGACGGAGCTGTCTGTTTCCTTATCCCTGAAGGTTATGTTGCAGGTAGCCTGCTTTCCCCTGTAGCAGCCTGTCCTGCTGTGCCTGGCTGTAAAGGTCCTGTCCCACTGTGTGTGGGAATAAACCTCTTGCAGACTAGGTGTCCGCGAAAGGGCTTTTTCTCTTGCATTCTAGTATATGAAGCGGTATCCTGCAAACTGCAGAGCGTTACATTCCAATGTGAGCGGAGAGTGCTTCGGACATTTGCAAACCCGAATCCCTACATTAAACCTGATATTTAGGCAACTAAATCTAAGGAATAAAAGAGACCTGATTTTCAGAACTCGGGCTGGTCAGAAATTCGCTGGCCAAACTGGTTTTCAGTGGAAAATCGGGGTTTCGATTCAATGAAATTCTTCCCCATCAGTGTCTTCTTTCAGCAGAAAACGTAGAGGAAAACTGTTTTTTTCCAACTTTCCCTGAAATTTTCCCCAAATCCCCCTTCCATTTTCTGACCACTTCTACTCAGCCTCGCCATCTCCCATTGACTGCAGTGGGACCTGTGGGGGCTCAGCACCTCTGCAAATCAGACCACCTTGATTTAGATGCCTCCATAGGGATTGAGGTGCCTACAAATCCACTTTGGTTGGAACATTTTGGCTTAAGCAAATCCATTGCAATGTCAGGTTTCGCTCCCTAGTTAACCACGCTCTTGGCCAGCTGAGGAAAGCCAGTGACACCCATTTGAACTCTGTTCCTGGAGTCTCGTTAAGCTGCACTGATGCCTGGGAGACCCGCTGAGGATGAATACAAGACCCGGTGTGTGAACGCACAAGCTATTCCAGAACAGAGGGGTAACGCAGCCCAAAATGCACTTGGTTTGCTGATTTGAGGAGTGCAGGTCAGTGTGACTAGTGCACGAGTGTCTGTCCTGCAGGGGCTAGGTTCTGCTCCCAACTCCGCTGACTTCCCCTGACACCCGAGAGGACCATCTGGCCCAAAGCTTTAATAGCATATAAAAAACCCACCCTGCAGCATCAGCTGGGACGTGCTACGTGGCACTAAGCTATCCCTGGGGCAGGCCTCTCCCAGCTGCTGTGCCATCTTTAACAAGAAAGCACTGCGCACTCCCCTACACACCCCAGCTGGCTAGTGCAGAGGGGCACCAGGACCAATGCCCCCCCTCCTCTGCCCCTAGTGCATTGACCCTGCAGAGTCCCAAGGGAGTATGAAGTGGGTGAAGCCCCCTTTCTCGTACACCCAATATCTGACGCTAATTCTTTGCTGGGAAGGGAGCTAAAGGCCAGGCGGAGACTAGCAAGGTTCTCCTGTCATCCCAGTGCTGCAGTGGCTCTCCCTGTGCTCTGGGGGGACCTCGAGTGATGCTGTTAAACTAAGGCAAAGAACAGAAGAAAACAGGAGAAACATAAGGAACAGAAGACAGGAGACAGAAACAGACGCTGGATGGAAATGCCACCGCCCCCTTCTGGGAAGCCCTTTGGTAAGGTGCGCATGACAGAGTCAGTGGAGAGGAGAGGCCGCAGCTGAATGGCCCGTGAAGTTGCAGAGAGGACACGCAAAAGGCTTTGCAAAGCGGAGGTGGAAATTCAGAAGGCGAGAAGAAGGGTTGATGCTCCATAGCGTTGCCAGACAAGAGAAAAGAAAAGGCACCAGAGTTCCGGCTGTTTCAGTGAAGGTTCTAGTAATGATCTTCTAAGGTCTGCACACTTGGGCTCTTATTAAACTCAGAGGTTGCACTACATGCATACGCTGCTTCTCTCTCCCTCCAGAACCCAGTCTGCAAAACTGTCCAGCTCTCATTACACAGACGCGGCTGGGCTGGCTCAACAAGCAGCTAGCTCTCTCTGTAGGCTTTAGGCTACACGGCACTCCTGCTCCCCCGGCCAGGCCCTGCATCCGATACAGCCCAGCCTCTGCTGCTCTCGCTCAGTTCAACATCCTCAGGACCATACTGAGTCAACAGCTGGCAGAGGAGGGCTGGCTACAGAAGGGCACGTTCTTTGCATTCAAAACCTCCAAGCTATTGGCTGGTTAATTTGGGTTTGTTTGGTTTTCTGCACATCAATCACCAGTTAGATATGATCGTGGCCAGTTGAGGAACCCCTAAAACACGCATTTTAACCCCATTACTTGAAGTAAAAAGAAGGTTTCCACACCTGGGGTTCAATCCCTGCATTCCTGGTGGAATAAGACGGTCTCGGAGCTTGGAAGACTCCTTTGGCTCTTGGTGACAAAACTCTGGAAGGGGATGCAAAGGGAGCTTCCGGTGGGGCACTTGTTCTGATGTCTTGGGCAATAAGCACAGTCCCAGAGGATGGAGAAAGAGGAGCATATGTTGGCCTGCTTGAACTTGACAGAGCAGGAGAATGAAAAACAGGGGAAGGTGTCAAGGGAGACGTTGGGCACGAGGTATGTCTCGTGTAAGAATGAGAGTCAGGAAACGCGGGTTGTGGCGGTGGTGCCCCTCTTGGCAAAGACCTCACCGGTTCTTTAGCTGGGGACAGGATGAACAAAGATGACTGGAGCTGGTACGGCTGCTGCTTTGAGATTTCCAGCTCCTGTCGGGAAATCTCACTCTCCGTGACGTTGCTGTTGTACAAAGATGCTGGGGGAGTTTTTGATGACCTGGCTGGACTCTTGGGCGGGTGTTTGAAGACCATGGGTGTTACATGAATATTGGAAGCATACTTCCAGGATGGAGGCAGAGACATGGTGGGAGAAGGTGACCTGGCCAAGCCAGGGTGTGCCGGGGACTCGATGACATACTTCTCCATCCTTGACTGCCTTCTGGCAAACAGTTCAGCTCCTTTTCCTTTGGCTTCGGTTAGGTTTTGACTGGGTTTCATTTGAGGCTTAGGCTGTATGCTTGGGGACTTCAGGCATGAAGACCACTCTGGGGCATTGTCTGCAGAATCCAGGTGAAGCCCACCTTTCAGTGCATTCTGATGCAGGAAGTTGGAAGCTTCTGCCCCAAGGGCAAATGGTTCTTCCTCTTGGACTGGTTCTCCTTGCTCCTTCTGCTTCCTCCTTACATCTGCATTCTGCACTAAGTTCAAAAGATCTGGGTTTGGAGCCACCTTTGGCTTTTCAACAAAGGTGAACATGGATTTTTTAGTTGTTCTCCGGGCCACGGACTCCTCTAGTATTCCTGTTTTATGCAAGGGCGTTGATCTGCTTTCTCCATGGTGAGGCCCTTGCAGAATGAGAGGCTTCTGTTCCGCACTAGGATACAAGGCTGAATACGCAGGAGGCGACCTGACCCTAGATACTGGAGGGGGACTGAACAAGGTCTCTGCATAGGTGGGGGGTGGAGGAAGTTCTACCCCAGGACTTTTCTCCGTTGGTTGGCTTGTTGTAGCTGATGATTGAGTCCCAAATGGTCTTGCTGTTCTGTTCTTCACCGGCATGGGTTTAGCCAAAGTGAGGTGAACTTCGTAATATTGTTTATTGGGCCCCCCATTGCACTCTTTGCTGGTAACCGAAACAACCGTCTCTTTGTCGGTAACCGGAACAGCCGTCTCTTTGTCGGTAACCGGAACAGCCATCTCTTTGTCAATCACGGTCACATTCTGCTCTTTGTTGAGAACGTCTCCATTCTGCTCCTTGTCAATAACTGGGGCCGTCTGCTCCTTGATGAGAACTGGCGTGTTGTTCTCGCTGTCAATCACCGGTGCATATCCATGCTCATTGACGCTAGGTTCGTGCACTCCGTTGGTTGATGCCACCTTTATGTTCTCCTTTAAGTAGACAGTTAGAGGGACCTGCTCTATGTCTCCACTAGGAGACTCCTTGAGGGATGGCACTGGGATTGTTTGGAGAAGCATCTCCTCCTCACTTTTGACTTCATTCTTTGGCGGGGACTGTGTTTTCTCTAGGCAGGTGGTTTCCTCATATTCTTCCATGTTGCCTTTAAGGATCTGCAGTCCAGGGTCTTCCGCGCAGAGTAATTCTTTCAGTTCTTTGCTGCCTTCTAAAGTCTGTCTCAAATGCAGCAGTTTCCCATGGTTTGGGATGCTCTGCTGAAGAGCTCTCGGGCTGCCTCTTGTAGCTGCTTCCTCGCCACGTTTTCTGGTGCTTGCCAAAGTGAACTCATTCACCCTCTGCTTGCGCTTGTTGAAGAGCAGCACACCTTTGGAGTTTGAGCTGGGTGGGTTCGTTAGCTGGGCTGCGATCTTCTGGCTCCTGGCTTTAGCCTCTTTCAGCTCCTTCTCGGAGAGACTGGCACTCCTGGAAAGATCTGGAAGGAGAAACCAAAGAGAGGACAGTATGAACAAGGAGGGATCAAGGAGCCTGAAGAATGCAAAACTCCATTTATCTCTGCTTATTTACTTATACTTACACACACACACACACACACACACACACACACACACACCACCCTCCTCTCTCG